ATGTGCCTCGGCCCCTCCATTATTTTTAAGGAATGGAGACTTACTCGGACATTATCCTCTACATCATATGTGCTTGGGAAGATATTTTAATAATCATATTTGTATCATAATGAAAAACACCCTAAAAATATTACCAGTTGTTGGCAATACGAGGGTCCTTTGATGCAGAAACATCTTGTGCGTGATCAGAACTACGATTACTATATATTGAAAAATGAGTAAGTTTGATTCTGATTAAACAACTTCCAGCCAATGCATGTCTTGAAGATTTGTGAAATATTCTGTACTAAAATGTGAACTGAGAACTCCCAGTATAACAGATAAACAGGATCAACACAATCACTTTCAGATTACACCATTCAAGGACAAAGAAATTAACCTGTGAGATAACACTTGTTAAGAATGGTTGTATAAAGTGGTATGTTGAAAGAGCACAAAACTCAAAGTTAGTACAAGTACAAGGCCAACTCTTTTATGTAATATGTTTCACAGATATATTCCAGCTTTTCCCACACAAGATGGGTCAGAATAAAATATAGAATTAAATGGCAACTTCAACTATTATTGTTTCTTGTGCAGTGCATGGTAAGTGCAAAACAATTACAACAAGTGTTTGCCACTAACATGGCATTGTCTTCTGCCGCTAAAGAAGAATGAAATATAACATATTTACTAGTTTTTATCTTTCGGTCACATACAAGATTTTTTGAGTGATGTAGTTTTTAGTCATGACAAGACAAGAAATTAGTAAAATCTGAATATTTTTTATATTTGTATACTTATCCTGCACTACTTACTTCCTGCACTTATTGTTTACGACTCGAAATGTGGCTTGCCAGATGATGTTGAAAAACGTAGAACTGTAATCACTTCCTGGTTTCAGATGCTCACACGTCCCCTTGATTTTTTCTAGAACTTCGGTTGTAGGACCAGAGGAGGAAACGCTTGGAGACCTTGCCAGGATAGGCTGAAGGCATCCAATGCCCATGCCGCTGAATCCGGGACTGGCGACACATACACAGGTAGTTGATGATTTTGACTGGTTGCGAACAGGTCTATGTTTGGAGAGCCCAAGGCGTGACTCCTTATGTAGCATCCATTCTGTGGGAGTCTGTGCTGAACTCTCAGAGGAATGTGTAAGTCGTCTACTAGTTAAACAGACAAAATGTTTGGTCTTGGAGAAACTGTGACCTGGTTGACCCGTTTCCTGATGAACCAGAGAACCGTTGTGTTGTCTGTGGCGACCGTAGCCGTTGCCCAGCGACGGATAGCAAGGATCACTGCCTCCAGCTCCAAACTGTTGATGTTCCAACTATGTTGATGGCTTAAGTAAAGGTAGTCTGTCTCACAGTCCCTGATCCATATTATTTTCCTTTCTGCCAAGACCTATCTGCAGTGCTCAAGCCCTAAATAAAGCAAGTTAGATTTCCTCATATCTGAATCTCTGGTCTCCCTGGGGCTCCTTTTCAATTTAAAAGGGATTGTTTGTTACTATCAAAATTATATATATTCAGAGACTAAGCGTTAGTCTAAACTAAAGGCTCACCTGTCTGATCTAGTAAATGGGGACCCCTACCTTGCATGGAGGCATCCACGAAAAGTTGTTAGTCTGGCACTCCCTCTGTCAAAGAGACTCCTCCTAAGACATTCAATGGGCGAGTCCACAAAAGGAGGTAGTAATATAAATGAGACAGATGAATGTCCGCCTAGCGGATGTACAGCGGAAGAAACCGCTGTAGGGGACAAAATTGAAGTCTGGTAAGATCTTGCATCGATGTTAACAGTCCGAGAAGCACCTGGTACTCGCGGAGAGACAATGGTTCTGAGAGCGCACGTAGGATCAGAGTTTGAATCTGATATCGTCTGTCCGGAAGAATCTGAACTTGGTTCTTGTCGGTTTGGAAGAGACCTCCTATGAACGTCTGATTGTGTGACGGGACAAGTTCCCGACTTATCCAGAGTGACAAACCAGTTGGTATAACAGACGGAGGGTGAAATCCCATTGTTGTATAAGAAGCAGCCAGTCTGAAAAGTGCATGTGGCAATCATCCAGATATGTGTCGAAATTGATGCCCCTCAAATGAAGATACCGGGAAGTAGGAGTTGTGATATGAGTGAACAACCACAGGGCCGTTGAAATTCCAAATGGGAGGACACCCCATTGGAAATGTTGATTGTTGAAATAAAAGCGCAGGTACTTCCTGTCGCTGGGGCGTATTGGAACATGGAGGTATGCGTACTGTAGGTCCAAGTTAATGAGGAAATCGTTGACGCATATCATAGATTTGAGGTAGTCGAGGGATGCCATTCAGAAGTGCGGAGGACGTTCCAGATAGGTCTTGTTGAAATATGACAGGCTGTGGATCATCCTCAGTTTCTTGAAACATTTCTTTGGTACCAAGAATATTGGAGAGTAAAACCCTGGTGTTGTGACAGGTTGAGGGATTAATTCCAGGGCTCTCTTCTCCAACAGAATACCTATGTTCTCCGCTAGAAGGTCGCGTTGAATCTGGGAGTGACTGTGCTGTCGCAGTAGCACAGTCAGAGGTGGATCAGTGAGGAGAGGGAGCCGAAACCACTGCCTCAATATGTCTGTGACGTAGGGATCCTCTCGGATTGACCAATTGGCCAAGAAAATTCCTATTCTCCCACCTACCAGTGTAGGGTAAATTGGAACGACTGGAGGTGGGAGTGTCCAGTTGTGCACATCCCTCATTTCACTTGTCCCTACATCTGTCGCCCTGGAAGGAGGTACAGTGACGTTGATATCCTCCTCCGTCCGGGCGGGGCTTGCCACCACGTCCCCTGCCACAAGTCGGGGCTTGATTTCTCGCTCACTGAACAGACTGACGTCAATGCTGGTATGTGTTTGATTGCAGTGATCATCACGTCTGGCTCTAGGCGCTCTGATGGACAAATTGAGAGACATCCCCTCAAAATCCACATCAAGTGTGGAGAGAATTTCCCTGACCGCTGCATGTGTTGGTAACATTAATGAAGGGGAATCCCAAATGGTTTGAGATTTTTCCACATCAGATCCCGGTGAAGGGAAGGAGGCCACCAAACAATCAGCAATCCAATCAAAAACGTGATCAAACCCGAGATGATTAGAACCCATGTCCTCCTCATAGTCCGGAGTGAAATCCAACGCACACAGTGACTTGGTTCGTTCCCAGCGCAACTTCGGCTGCGTTTAACAGTACTTCAGCCAGTTTATTGTATCAGTCGGAATTTTACAGTGAATGAATGAATGAATGAATTAAGAGCAAGAATTATATGTGAATGAATGAAAGAAATAAAGAAAAAGAACAAAAGAAATACATATGTGAATGAATGAAAGAATAAATGATACACCACGACCATCCCTCCCCAAACATGTTAAAGAACGCAAACTATCGCTAGAACACGTGTGTTAACATCAGCTGTCCTTTTTTTAAAAATCTACTCTGGGACATTTTTTGCATTAGTAATTAATTCAGATATCTTATTGCATGTGTGGAATGGCATGGACATTGACAGAATGTTAAGTGACACTGTCACACACCCCTCAAAAACAAGAAAGTTTAGAACTATCATGAAGCGTTGTAAACACCTTTCCAGTTTTGTCAAATACTAAGATCAACAAGAAAGAAAGAAGTTTTAGAACTATAACACTCAAGCATCACAAGCATCAATGGCAGATCAGAACAGATCGACGATATGTCATATTTTTCACACACCTCAAATACACCCAAACAATTTTTTTAAATTATAAAACTATCACTATTACTTGCAAACACCTTTCACCTGATGGTATATTCCCCTCATATTAATTAAAGGTGCATGTGAAAGATGTTTAAGAACAATAACTAGAAACACTCAAACAACGCCCTGTAGTATCACTATTACTTGCAAACACCTTTCAACTAAAGGTATATTTCCCTTCTAAAAATAAAACGAATATGTGAAAGAAGTTTTTAGCGATAGAATTTAGTCTTTCTTCGCTGTGTACCGAGAATTGAAGCCAGTGAGCTACAACATGCCGACTTGAAACTTTGCTACAAATCTACTGTACTAATACTGACACTAATAACAATTACTTGACTTAAAATGAAGTGACAGAATAGGTAACTTATCTTCTACATGTAGGTTTTCAGTTGTCACAACACTCAGCGAATGTAATCAGCTGTTGAAAATAAACCGGGCTCTATCTTAAAAAACTACGCTTCCGCCATATTGGATACAATGGTCACGTGACGAGCCGAGGCATACGCTAAGGGGCTTTTCGAGGAGTGACCACTCCCCGTTATATAGTCTCCCTGTTTAGAGTTATTTTTAGACCTTTCAAATAACCTTTATATTTATGCAATTTTATGTCATGCACATATTTCTTGTGTCATGTACTCACGGTCACATCTTTGCATTGGGTGAAAAATATGAAAAAAACTCATTGTGCATACCATCGTCTCCATAGTTCTCATGTTTAGGAAACAAATGTGGTCTTTACTCAAAGATCTTTTTACTCAAAGAAGAACAGTAACATGTTTCATTATAATAACATATTGAAAAGTGTTCCCCGCCATGATATTGCTGGAATATTGCTGGAATATTGCTAAAAGCAATGTAAAACCCAACTCAGTCACTCACTAATTGGAACCATCATAAAACTGCATGATTCTATGTTAAATTTAATCTACGAACTGATAGTACAATAGAGGTGGCAGGCCCCAGAAACAAAACAGTAAAGATGTGTCACCAAATGATCAAATGAACAGAAGAAAAGGATGACTTGACTCAAGATAGTTGGTAGTTAAAGCAAGTGAAATTCAACTAGTTCAAATGCCAGCGTACTTGTTTGCTAACTAAATTATGCTGGCAGGTAATAATTACCGAAAATTACACTGGAAAAAATGCATGAATCACTTCACACGAGACGATAATATTAACATCTGATTGACTTGAAAAGGAAAAAGTGTCGTGGAGTAAAGGGGGACTAGCATTGCGACAAGTACATGTATTACCTGAGATGCTTTCATTGTAGCCTTTGGTGAAAAACATCAATGCCTTAGCTGCTCGTACGGGTGTTCGAAGAAGGCCTTGTCTCGATGGATCCTCGCCTAAACCAACGAGGATTTTTTCGAAGTAATGAGATATTTCTTCAGCAACATCATCTTCGCTTTTTCCAGTTGCTCTGCCTGATTTGGCAGCTTTGACCACTCCGTTCTCCAGAGTTAACTGATGTCCAAGCAGCTGTAACTTAGATTCCTCCGGCTCTGGGTCAGTAGCACATAGGCTGGGGTGCTTCACCATTGTCAAACGTCTCAATTTATCTTCCAGTTCCTTATCGGGGTCAGGTACAAAACAATCTACGGTCATATTAGCATCACTCATAGTTGGTTCTGAATATTTGATATTGCCGCCGCTCTCAGATGATACTCTCGGTCTGTTACACAGGAGACTCAGCCACTATTGACGAATGCGTGTTATTTATAGAAACCATTCTGTGCCATGGTCTTTGATTGGTTGTAATATAACGAGTAAACAGGTGCGCGCAGTGATACTAACCGACTAACGAATAATTACACTGTTTCTGTTAGCAGCACGGGACATAGGGTTTCTCGCGAATGAATGCCAAAAGGCTACGTGGTGTGAGCTGACTGTGCCATTCGTCATCCTGGGGCGAATCCCACATGTACAATTTCACTTTACACATAAACGCCTGAAACAATCGCTAAAGAATTATCATTACAAAAAGCCATCAAGATTCAGACACCCAGTTATCTGCTGCTCCCAATAGATGCTGTCACCTTGTTTAATACATACATTACAGATTACATTATGTAATTTACACACAAATATATAAATATAGCACGCGTGTATATACTAATCTATTAAGACCGTCTCATAATGTGATCACTGGTCATGCAGTACATTAGATAAGTTGTAGCATGAGGGGTGTACGGGATTTTGTGCGTCTCGAGTTACAGACACTTGACGTGATTTCCATAGACTTACATGTTATTTCAGTGTAGCATAAATAATTTTCATGAAGTGAGTTCAGGATGGATCTTTGTAAAATTTGACAGGCAAATTTGAAATAATCTCTGCTCTGGGCACACAAATTCAGTCCGACCACTATTTAGAAGATAAAGCTACTCTGTTTTCAATTTTGCGGTCCTTTATCGGCGATTTAAGACCGCTAAATGTAATTTAAAACCGAGCGCGTGAGGTTTTAAATTAAACATTTAGTGGTCTTAAATCAACGATAAAGGACCGCAAAATTGAAACAGAGTAGCTTTATCTTCATTCTAGCACGACTGATAAGCGTTTTAAAACCGAACTGTTTGGCGCGCAAGAACACAAGGCGCGAAGGGAAATCGCTTGGAATCGTCCCGTTGAGGGACAGGTTGTGTAATGAACAAAATAAGACACTTTCAACAACAGAAATGCCTTATTTCAGGAACCAGTATGCTTGTATTTGTAACAAGTAGCATATATAAATAAAAAATACTGTTTATACTGTTAGCAAGTACAATTATTTGATTTTTCTCAAGCGAATTATTGATCTCCCCTACTGTATGACAATCGACTCGTCCAAATTCAAGCCGTGAACTCGCTAAGTTTAGTCGCCGCTAACTTTATTCACGGAAATAAATGTTGATAACCACCCTACTATTCCCAATTTGGAAAAGACCTGACATGCCACGTTTTATGTGGGATACATGGACAGTGGAAGTGGAAGGGCTGGGCATTACGGCCGGGGCGGAAGCGGTCAGGTTAGGACGTGTGGGCCGACGTGTGTTGTCGACGTCACAACACGTACATCTGGACCCGGTTTGAATATATACTGCCGCATTTGCGCTTCTGACGGATTTTCCAGCTTCGTAGTTTCTTCACTGGGATTAGGGTCAAGAAATTCTTCTTCAAACCATTCGCTTTTTACTTCAAAATCATCAAAGATGCTGCTGAGATAGAAATTGCCGATGTCCGACATGTTTCTTTACAAACAATAGGGTCCACGAGTTCGTTGTATTTATACGCGGTGAATCGGTCACTTTAATTGCGGTCTTAAACTGCCATTTTAAGTACGGTTTTGATGAGCTCTCAGTCAATCAGAATCGAGTATCACACAATTTGTCGTGGTAGAATTTACTAATGACATCACATTTATCACATTTATCAACTTGTGTATGGTTCCACAATGCACAATCCATTAGGCCGCCATGTTAGAGGAGTTCACGGCACTGTACACATGTTGATTAAATTGTTGCCATTCGATAAATAAGCAACGGAAAATAAACAAATTATGTGATTGTAGGTAAAATGATTCCTCACAAATGCGCAAAATTTGACTTGGATCCTACGAAAAGTAAATTCATGAAAATTATTTATGCTATATGACGCATCACGCGATGAAACCAAACTCGGGATGCATAAAACCCCCATATACCCCGAATCATAATGCTACAACGAATTTATCTTACCAAATGTTTAAATATATATCTCATTATGTAAATATAACATTGAAACAAACTGAAATTCAATCATGTATTTTACTGATTAGTCTATCCAAACCCCTAAGTCAGAATTAAGTGCTAAAAGGGACGTTTATAATTCGCCTCCGTGACTGACTGACTGACTGAGTTTAGTTTTACGCCGCTTTTAGCAATATTCCAGAAATATCACGGCGGGGGACACCAGAAATGGGCTTCACACATTGTGCCCATGTGGGGAATCGAACCCGGGGTCTTCGGCGTGACGAGCAAATGCTTTAACCACTAGGCTACCCCACCGCCTCCGTGAGAAAGCCTGTCTTGTAACTTGTATATTGATAAGAAAGTAAGATTGTTTATGGATAACAACTTCTTTTATTAATTATAATAAAAGATTTTGTTATCCATAAACAATCTTACTTTCTTATTAGTCACCAACTTCTAAATGCCAGTGAAACAAATCATTGTATATTGATAACTAAAATTGCCTTCTGATCATATTCTGTCCATTTTGGTAACACTTTTCAGTGTGGCATAAACAAAAGGGGAATATAGAGCCGACGTATATTTAGAATAGCACCATGTCTTGCTGACATATACTGAACACCCCTAGTCCAGTCAAAATATGAAAATATACCCCAAAAAAAAAAAAAAAATTGGTACAGAAACGATTTGTGCATTTTCAGCTTGTGAAAGTCTATATCAATAAGAACTAAAAAATTCCCTCCAATCATGATGCTAAACCTGATTTTGGGGGTAAAAATGATGTAAAAGTTGAATTTTCTGGGATTTTTTTTAAATACTCATTTGAGACAAAACTTACTTTTTTTGACTGAGTTTAGACTGAGAAGAGAATTTACTACCAATAAAGTGGTTGGAAAAGTAATATATACTGGGGTAAATATGAAAATAATTGACTTTTTACTATTTTTCATTTACGGACTCCTGGTTCTTTGCCACCTGGTTTGACTCACTCGAATTGCATGTGCAAAGGCAGGCTTGTCAGCTTCTCTGAGCAGATGTGGTGACTCAAACAAGGAAGGAGGGTAAGTACACAGTTCATAAGTGAACAGAGTTTTCTGAAACATAACCTTTTGCTGCTGTTAAAAGTCTCTGAAACAAAAGTTGAACATCAAATTTGGCTGGTTCCCCTTCCAGTCTAAGTAAACTTAGACTCCGTATTATTCGTCACACTGCTATACTGAGGCTAAGTTTACTTAGACTGGTTCCCCTTCAATTTCAACATGTGTGTTGTCACTCATGACAGTAATCTGGTCTTTCTTCTTGAATGTGAACTCCTGTACAATCTGCCCTTCCATCTTGTCAAGAATCTTCATTCCTACCTCTTTAGCTTCATCAGCATTACTATTAACAGAGATCACACCACTTGAAATGCTCTTTAACATTTCCATATCAGGGTTTCTGTCAGTGAGATATTCAGTTATGGCTTCTGTGTCCTTCCGATCTCTCTGCTGCCTTGCATTGCTGCTCTCCTTGTGCTGTTCACTTCTATTGTATGCTTGTCCTGTCAGCTGCTGCATTGCATGAATAAATCATATGCCCCTGGATTAGACACTTTCAGATTTTGTATGCTCATCAGGTATACATACACTGATTTCAGGTAGAGGTTATGGCCCGCAGCCGCAAAATATGACAGCATGCGTTGAAGTGTTTTCAGATGGAGTAACCAATCACCTGTTCTTTCTGCTTAATTAATGTTCTGAGGATTTCTACCATTTCCATGTACTGCAGCAAGAGCTTTGCAGTTCTCCCTTTACTCACTGCACTGCAGTGTTTATTTAACCGCTCAGGCACCCTTGTCAGCAAAGGGGATGTGCATGCCACTTCAAGGTCCAACCTTCCAGCTACAATCTCATCAAATACCTTTGCAGTAGACAAAAGATCAATTTCTGGTTTCCAAATATCTACAGCTTCTGTTTCTTGTGCAGTCTGTGCGGGTTCCTGTTCATTACTTCCAGTGCCATGTGATTCCTGCTCCGTGTCATCACTGTCAATTGGGTCAGGTCCATCATCAGTCCTGTTCAGTTCAACATCAAATGCTTGAGATACCAGCAGTGATTGTAGAGCCATGTCCACGAGTCCATGACCTCTTATCGCTCGGGCAAGGGCCTTCCCGGTCAACATATAGGTGACTGCGTTCTCAGAGTACACGATCTCTATGGTCAGACATGATCTGTCCGATGCAACCAAGAAAGCTCATTTCAACATGAAGACCTCCTAATCTCAAAATGAACTTGTGCAGATCACTTGTGTCGGGTTCAACAGAGATGATATTTGTGGCTTTCCACCAGAGTGGCTGATCGAAAGTGAGTACTGGAGTGACGTTGTACTTCTTTGCCTGGTCTCTTATAAACAGCAATGTTGTGTAGATGCAACTTTTATCATTATGATTGAGGGCGATCATTCGCATGGAGGTAATGCAGCTTGGACCAGGAAATGTACCATTCTTGTGAATCATTTGCATAGTTCCATTCCATGAAGGTGTGAGTGAACGGAGCAGCCAGGCTGTCTTTCACAGTATGTTTACACTTGGTGTTTTGTCATCACATTCAATTTGAGAGAGCATGCCATACTTCAGATGAGACAGTTTCTTTGTACTATAATAATGTACTTTGATGGTTCCAATGTCTTTGAGATCCTGATCACTTGCCTTTATCTTGGGTACATGTCTACGTATTTTAGATCCTGGAGTAGCGGCCGCAATAATCCCCATCCCGTGAAAGGTGCCATATCCGTCTATGGTCCTGATGTTATGGTCGATGTTATCGGCAACAAACTGGATGAATTGGCCTTCTGTGTATCCTTGGATTTCGGTGTTGTTAGCAAGAGATGCACTGCGCTCAAACTCCTGTACATCGGCATAGGAACAGCTGAAACCTAGAGCCTTTAGTGTATCAATCAAGTGTCTAGAACTGAAAAGGTGGTGGCACTTGGGGATGTATTTAAAGAATTATTATGTAAACAACCCTAACTATTATAAAATGTCAGCCCTATTTGAAACTCATAATATATGAAGCAATTAAGAAATCTATGTAAATATAATTCCATTATAATGTCTGTCAACATGACATGATTAGTTTACCTGTACATAATTGCTGGATTTGTTTTAAGCCATAGCCTAAAAGTGGTATATTTTTGAAAAATACCCCCCATGATGCTTTGCATGTATTTGTAAACTTATGGTAATAAAAAGGATGATTGATTGATTGAACCTCCAGAGCTATTTGGAGGGGCGAAAGAAATTGCCTTGGTCTTACAGCCTGCATAATTGCTTGTCCTATTGCAGCCTGCTTAGTCATGATGTTCTTCCCAACAAAGAGAGCCCTTAACAGTAGCTGTAGAGATTCGGGAACAAATGAAATTCCCATTTCGGGAGACATTATTTCATTGGGTAATGGAATACATCAGTTGGAATAGATGCATTTTTAATGTCACTTTTTTTGCAGCTGTTTCAATTATCTTTGCTTTTGCTTTTTCAGGATTATCATTTTTGGGAAGTGAAAAGAAATCGTGAATAACTTTGGAAGCTGTCGCCCTTATAGTTACAATGCTAGCTTTTCCACCACTTTCAACAATGACAATATTTTCTCCAAAATGATCAGCTAGTCTGGATTTAATGTGAGTGGGAGTGAATGGTTCCATATCCTCATCCAGAAAATTCTTCATTTTATCAAGAAGAGCACTCACTGTTACTAGTTCCTCATCACTTTGCTCTAAATATGCAACCACTTTCTGAAATGCAGATTCACGGACAGAATTCTTCTGTCTTCCCTTCCTATTCTTCAATAAATCATTAGATCCAAGTTCTTTTCCTGTCCTAAATTTTACACTACAACTCTGGTGGTAAATTGCATCTGAGGCATGTAGATCTCCTAAATATTCAATTCTAGACAAAACAGTCTTTCCCAACTCATCATTTCTTTCCTGGCACTTGTCATACACTGCACGTTGAAAATCTGCAGTTCTGGATCTATATATGAGCGGCGGCATGATACGTGTTTTTTTGGCCGGGATTGAAAATAAGATACTCATCACCTCTTTCAATTGCTGCTTTCTGTAAACCTTTACATCCTTTTTCAGTCAAGGTAACCGAATCTACATTCAATAACTGTTTAGAGCAAAGACAACATTTTTCTTTCATTTTGCAACCTCAATGCAATGTCAACAATGGGGGATAACTCTCATTTTCACCTTTTGCCTTGTACTGATTATCCAAAATTCAAGTTCAAATCCCATGACTTCAATAATTTCAAAAATATTTTTAATTGTTTATTATATTTGACACCTAAGTAATATGTTTCTGAAGGTTTGATAATTTAAAAAAGAAATACAAGTTAAAAATCATCAAAATTTATGCTTTTCACTCCCCAAAAGTCACTTCGCATCGACATTGAAGGGAGGACTTTGTATATTGTGTTCATATGACCATTCTGAATTATTTAAACACAAAACCATTTCTGTACCAAGTTTTTGGAGGTTCGGTGTTTTTTTCCTTTAATTTTACTGGACTACCCACCCAACAGACGCCACGTCATCAGCAGCGAATTTATACTCTTCTGTGGGGCTCTCCCAAGTCTTCTCTGCGTTTTCCATCTTTCTTGGATTTGAAGAAACAATATCTCCTGAGCCCAACAACTCGATATCCATAATAGATCAATTAAACTTAATACCAAGTGATCAGAGCTTTAACATTTCACGCTGAATTCCACACTACTAATACCTATGATCTCACACCACAGTTCATCGCGGAAGTCAGTCAAGTAATCACAGCAGGCGCAATCACCCAGGCTTGGTGCACACACAGGTTCGGGTGGATTTGGAGACACTCATGTATGCCTGAATCCACTAATTTCTGTCTGTATGACGTCACTTCAAAGTTCATGACATACCTTTTCACCTCCACGCAGTCTGCTTTATAAACTGTTTGTACATAACATGTGTTATATTTGGGATTATTTGGGATATTTGTTAGTACATAAGACTCTAGGTGCTGATGCAAACCGTATTTATGAAGAATTCTCACAATGTCAGGAATGAATGCTCTCAATGTCTCTCAAACTACAGTAGGGTCAACAGTATTTAATTTATTCAAGTTATGGAGAATTTCCATCAGTGCACGTTTACCCCGGAGAGCTAGATCAGATGCGCATAGAGTCATTTTAGAGGTAGAGGAAAAAATAACACCAAGATATCTGTATGTATTAACAGTTGTAATCATTTCATTTCTAAAGAACCATTTTTCACATTTTGACAAACGCCCGCCCCTTCTAAATACAACAACCTTAGTTTTATCTAGGTTGACACTTAATCCCCAAGTGTCAGCAATTTTTCCTAAAATATTCAGTTGTCTCTGTAATCTAAAGATAGCATCAGATACTAAAATGACATCATCAGCAATCATTAGCAATAATGTTTCAAGCATATCAGGAAATAATTGAACACCATATTTTCCATTCAAAACAATATCATTTGACAATTCATTGATAGAAAAGGAAAAAAGGATTGGACTTAATATACAACCTTGTTTCAAACCAACAGGACAGTCGAAATAGTTTGTACAACGGTTCTTGTTAAATCTTACACAAACTTTAATCGATTTATATATTCCTCGAAGGGCTGCCAGCATTTTACCACAGAGGCCTGTATTTCTTAGACATGACCACAATTAAACACGATCTACAGAATCAAATGCTTTTTTAAAATCAACAAATGCGACATATAATTTCTTTTTCTTTTTTTATACAATCAACTTGTACCATTTCGACCATTGCTCCCCATCCATAACAAAATGGCTGCCGTTGTCTTCAACTCTACCGCTGACTTCCGTCCATCCGTCCATTGTCCATCAACCATCCTGAACGACCATCCAAGGGCACCCAACCAATGCTCTTGATCAATAGAAAGGAGAACAAGTATAGATTATTACTGTGTCTCGTGCTGAGCTGCAATAAAAGACATTTCGTTATTAAAAAACCGTTGCTTAAGTCAGGGAGACTATAAGACGGTAGATTCGTGTAGATTATCCTTGCTTAGGTGAACGCCCAACCGCTCTGACTGGGTTCGGTATCCCGGGGGCTTTGTTTCGAGGGTAGTAAACCCAAGTACAAAAATTGCACTGTTGATTTGCGATTGTACGCTTATAATTTTGTTTATTTGTTCTTTCGTAATCAGCAATGTATATTATATGTCATGAATAAATGATAATTGTGTTTTAATTATGTTTATTTTGTTGGTTGCACCTAAGCTTTAAAATCAGCATCCGGCCATATGGCCTGTGAGACACAAACATCACAATTATAAACATTGATAATAAAATCTCTCTCTCTCTCTCACATGAAGAGGTGACTTCGGACAAGATTATCAACCCAGGTCTACCTTTAATGGCGAAGTTCCACAACGGAATTCATTCAAGATAGTACAATGTGATCCAGGTAGGATTATTTCAAAACATCGTTCAACCTCTAAAAAAATCTTTAAAAAGACGATAAGTAAGTAATTTATTTCCATTATCCTGCCATTTATCATTCCAAAGCCCAGAAACCAATCAAAACAATCTGATGCCTTCAAATGTTCTTTAGCAACAACAAACTCTTTATGTGAAATACTAAATAAGTCAATTATAGGTAAATAAAAACTAACTAATAATTTATCAACTCCAATAGACCAAGATCTGATCCAGTGTCCCGACCATCTCCTAACAATACTATAGGTATTCTGTTAAATTCGAGTAAATGAAGTTTACGCCAAAAACGAAGAACCTAATTTTTTTGTTTTGTATACTGAGAGACCGAGCCCATTTCGCCACGCACTACTAAATTTAGAGTTTTGCTACCGACGGCTAAAAAGAATCTAGCTGCACGATGTTGTATTGCATTAATACAGCTATACTGCCGTAATGTATAGGACGGTAATGTACAACTTTAGTCTTATAAATATTAACCAAGATCCGCCAACGTGAACACCATTCACCAACACAATCTAGCATGCGCTGTAAAGTTGCTCATCAATCAAAGCAACATCATCAGCATAAACAATGAACTCAACATATCTCCATCGATATTTATACCACAATGTAAACTGTCTATTTCGTTAGGTAGATCATTATTATAAACTGAAAAAAAGTGTCGGCGACAAAACTCAGCCTTGTCGTACACCCGAGTTTACATCAAACACATCAGTAATACGAACTCGTGACAACGTGCCATCATACACTGACTGGACTGCATGAAGAAACTTACCACTGATGGACTTACATTGGTTGCCTGTGCATCTCCGATGTCAGCACAAGGTTCTCACCTATGCATACAAGGCACTGCATGGCACGACTCCATGTTACCTCCAGCACCTAATAACCCCATACCGACTGACACCATCCCTGCGGTCCCAAACAGCTTCACTCATCACTCTACCAAAAAAACAAGAACTGTGAAATATGGTGACAGATGCTTTAGCAAGTTAGCAGCAACTCTCTGGAACAATCTCGGCAACAGACTCTAACCCTTGAACACCGTTTTACGCCTCAGAGTGTTTTTTTGTTAAGCCATATAGGGCGCTATATACAAAGTTCAAAGTAATACCTAATTTCACCAATTTACATCATAAACAATGACGATTAACTTATCAAAAGCTTTCATTGCATCAATAAAACAAACAAAAGTAGATTGCTTGGATAACTTTCTGCTATGAGGAATAATCTACAGCTGGGATAGGTCACTCGCTTGCTTTCTCTACCATTTGTACTAATTAGTGTGTGCCTCGTCATGCTCCAACGGACACAGTGACTTGGTTCGTTCCCAGCGCAACTTCGGTTGCAGTACTTCAGCCAGTATATTATATCAGTCGGAATCTATCGGCATACTTTTTGTAAGCATAAGCTATACTGTAACATGTGTTATATTTGGGATTACACTTTCTCAGTAAAGTACAGATTGAGTCAACCCAAAAAAAGTACTAGAATCTGTACTTTACTGAGAAAGTGTAATCCCAAATATAACATATGTTACATTTGGCCACTTTCCAAAATGGCATTGTGTATTTTATAAGCTATACTGTCAATATGATCATGCATGTTTCCTTAGATATTTACACAGATGTGTACAGTGCTATTATGATATATGTTTGAATTGATCTGTTACGCAATTAAAATGTCTCACAATGTTTCATGCTTTTCTGTTTATGTTGAATGCTTATGAGTTCCCCTTTTTCTCAATTTCTAAATTATCTTCCAAATTTTACAATGAATGAATGAAGAGGAAGAAAAATTTGTGAATGAATTAAATAAAGAAAGAAAAAGAACAAAAGAAAGAAATACATATGTGAATGAATGAAAGAATAAATGATACACCCCGGTCACCCCTCCCCAAGCATTTTAGAGAACACAGGATCACCCCAACCCTCCCTGCTGCATCTTATCTTTAATCTGTAAAACATAATAATAATAATTATAATGATAGCAGGGCTCGCTGCTTTTATTACCGTCTCCGCCATGCCTGTGGCTTTGACTCCGAGGTCCATCCATGGTACGACCCTGAACATGCCCAGGGCGTCATGGAAAATGATGCTTTTAAACTTCTGTGGAATAGGCCCATATACAGCCTCAGAAGAATTCCAGCCATCAAACCTGATCTTGTCCTTCTTGATAAAGCTAATGAATTTATTTATATCATTGGATGTTCTGTCCCTTTTGACACCAATGTGATCGGCAAGATTCAGGAAAAGCATGATAAATATGCGGACCTCGCCTTTGAAATGTCTCGCTTGCATCCCAAGTACACTGTCTCGTCAGACTCCCCATTGTTCTCGGTGCCCTTGGTTTGGTACCTCCTGATCTCTTGGCACAGATGAGGAGAGTGCCCGGGTTCTCCACCGGGAGCACAGCCCTTCTGACACTCTGGGTAATGCAGAAGGCTGCAGTGTTGAGGAGCCTTCATATTCTCCGGAAAGTTCTTGGTGGGTTCGACTAGACAGTGTTTCCTGGGAGAAGTCCCATTCGCTGTCTGGGCTGCGTGTAGAGGGGGCAAGGGCCCTGAGCTGATGATGAGCTTTACCAGCCTGACTGTGCCAGGATCACCCGAACCCTCTCTGCTGCATTTTCATCTTTAATCTGTAAAACATAATAATAATAATCTATTTACATAGCGCCGAGTTCCAGCTAGGCTGCTCACAGGCGCTTCACATAGTCCTGTTATGTCAGTTTCTGGTACCAGAACACAGCATTCTGAGGTGAACAGATGTATATGTGTTTCAAGGTGGCGGCGGAAAGCCCGTACAGGGGGTGCAGACTTTAAAGTAAGAGGAATTTTGTTCCAGAGAGTGGGGACTGCACACGTGAAAGATCGATCTCCTAATCTAGATCTGCTGTTAACAAGGAGATTTTTATCCTGTTATCTCAAAAGTCTGGATGGAGCATATATAGTCAGAAGTGACGACAGGTATTATAAGGAGTGGTCAGTCTTCAGAACCTTGTATAGGCGATGGTCAGCAGTTTGAAGATTATTCGCTTTGGGAACAGGGAACCAGTGGAGCATCCGGAGAACTGGTGTTATATGCTGCTTCTTTGGGCACTTTGTGACCATCCTGGCGGCTGTATTCTGAATCACCTGACGTTGAAGCTATGAGAATGGGACGCCCTTAAGGATGGATCATGAGTTGGTATGATCGATACGGGAGATGACTAGGGCTTGAACAAACGTTTTTGCTTACTCTGTTGTAAGAAAACGCAGTAATCGGCAAATTTCATGGAGCTGATGATGAAACATCGGACATACAAGGGTGATTTGTCGTCTCAAGTCCATGACAGAATCAAAATAGACTCCTAAATTCGTCACTGTGGCAGACGGAGTTACTTCAACACGTCCAATCTTCACTGAAAGAACTGATAGTGAAGTCTGCAAATGCTTTTGTCCAACAGCCAAAACTTCCATTTCTCTGTCGTTGAGTTTGGAAGCTTGTCTTCATCCACAGCCTGATGTCAAGAATACAGAATACATTTTTCCTACTGCCTTGCATGATCTTTCAATGATATCAGTCTTGAAGCAATGGTACTCTGAGCGTCATCAGCATAGCAGTGAAACGGAATACAATGTCTCCTGAAGATGTCACCCAAGGGTAGTATGCATATAAAGAACAGGAGGGGACCTAATTCGGATCCCTGGGACACTTGTGAGACTTGTCTACACGATACTGCGTTCTGTCTGTCAGATGTGACTTCATCCATGACAAAACAGCTCCTGTGATCCCAACTTTTGTCTCAAGCAGATGAAGAAGGTATAAAATGCCGTCAAAATCAGTGAGTGAGTGAGTGAGTTTAGTTTTACGCTGCATTCAGCAATATTCCAGCTATATGTCGTCAGGCTGTAAATAATCGAGTCTGGATCAGACAATCCAGTGATCAACAGCATGATCATCGATCTGCGCAAATGGGAACCGATGACATGTGTCAACCAAGTCAGCGAGCCTGACCATCCGATCTCGTTAGTCGCCTCTTACGACAAGCATGGGTTACTGAAGATCAATATTCTAACCCGGATCTTCACGTGCCCCGCAGACAAATCAAGCATTACCAGGATGACGACTTTCTGGTTGTTGCGATGAGAGAGGATATCATTTTGAACTTTTAACAATGCTGTTTCAGTACTATGATGTTCCCTATATGCTGACTGAAATTCCTCCTTAAGGTTGTTGCTCTCAAGATGGTTTCTGATGTGACATGCGACTATCTTCTCCAGGACCTTTGACAAAAACGGCAAGTTTGAAAGGGTCCAAAGAGGTCTTCTTGATGAGTGGTCGCATTCAGGGCGTAGCTACCACCATAAAAAAAGCCCGGGCTTACACATGATTGCTGCTAAAAAGGTTGGGCAAGCCCTCAATACTATATGAAATATAAAGCTTTGCAATCTATCGGGCTTACACGAAAAAATTGTCTTGCTACGCGCCTGGCATTTGTGGTGTTTTAAACTCATTTGGTACCTGGGACGTGTGGAGTGAGGTACTGAAAATAGTTACAAGCACAGGCAATAACTGTTCTAGAAGTTACTTGAGAATCCAAGTGGGCAGAGGGTCTAAATCAGATGACTTTGCTGGGCTCTTTGCAATAAGGCGTCGCACTCTGTGCCCGATGTTGGAGTGAAGTTTGTTTTCAAGGGAAATACCAGTGAAAGGTTAATTTGCTGTAGTTAACAGTAGCAGTTTCTTGGGACTCATGCAATTCAGCTCTGATTCAGTCTAGATCCGCCAGGTTAAGGGGCGGTGGGGTAGCCTAGTGGTTAAAGCGTTCGCTCGTCACGCCGAAGGCCCGGGTTCCATTCTCCACAAGGTCACAATGTGTGATGCCCAGTTCTGGTGTCCCCCGCCGTGATATTGCTGGAATATTGCTAAAAGCTGCGTAAAACCCAACTCACTCACTCTGCCAGGTCTGTCTTGTGGTACTGGTGTTGGATCTGCTATTTTCCGAAAACAGTTTCACTAAAATCTCGAAAGCGCATCAGCAATAACATTTTCATTTGTGCTTATGTATTGAGCTTTAAAGAGGATGTTTTATTTGAGGCACAACGGGACATCTTACCAAAGCTATCACTCTTGGTGAATTACAGCCTGATTGTCACAGCTGATAAGCACCTTCATCTTTGCAACTGACCTACCCAGTTGCCTGATTGACAAAACAATAGGAAACAACTCCAGAAATGTTAGATCCCTGGTCACGCTTCACTCCACCCACTACTTTGGCCAGGGACGATATACCCAGGGGATCTGAAAGTACCGATACCGATATATGGTCTCTGCTTCTTTGCATCTGAGGGCCACATCTGTAATATCTGTTGCCTCACTTCCTTGATCTTGTGGGGTATTTTCACCTGCCCTGTTTTAGTAGTAAGCTGTGTGTTAAATTTTCGCCATACTCTTGTGTACAAGCAAGTGAGAAAGTCATTTTTAATAGATTATGTGTTTGTTTGCAAGTTACTGCAATAAACACCACTGTAAGAATGTAGTAAACATTTAAAAAATGGAACATACACCTGGGCCTAGGCCTTGAACATCTCAAGGGGTTCAAAACCCCACCCCCACCCCCGGGACAAAACGATTTCTTACAAGTATTTGTAGAACGTACATTTCCACAGCCTGCTGTGCACTTGTGAATTACGTTTTTTTAATGAGTGCCCATCTGAAGACCGTGTTTTCATGAGTGAATACTCTATAAGGAGGCGTATGGAAACTACTATGTCTGAAACTCACACTCAGCGCCGTCGATGCCCGGAGCTTGTCTGTTCACCAATGTCGTGCTCACATTGGCCTGCATGGCTGATCAGGTAGATTAGTGCGTGCAGACACAAATGGAGGGAAATACAAACTTCGTGGTCCTGAAGATGTACTAAGATCAAGTAGGTCTGCTGTATGTCTCCTGTTGTCAGAAAACTCGAATGAAGGAAACTATACCGATCTCTCGCTATATCGCGAGATGAAAGGAGTGATGATGACGATTTTAAGGGTGGTGGGGTTATTCACATTGTAGATGCTTCTCTATAAAAATCATCACAGACGCACGCACGCGCACACGCACGCACGCACGCACACGCAGAGAGAGAGAGAGAGAGAGAGAGAGAGAGAGATTATGAACAGTCCCATAGGGAACTGACATGTCTTTGGAATTGGAGGCAAACAACCAATGCGACCCTTAGCCGAGAGCCGCGATGCAGGGTCATGTCTAGTCTGTCTCACAGTCCCTGAACCACATTAATTTCCCTACTGCCAGGGATACTCTACAACAGGGATAGGTCACTCGCTTGCTTTCTTTACCATTTGTACTAATTAACGTGTGCCTCGTCATGCTCCAACGCACACAGTGACTTGGTTCGGTCCCAGCGCAACTTCGGCTGCGTTTAACAGTACTTCAGCCAGTGTATTGTATAGGTCGGAATTTTACAATGAATGAATGAATGAATTAAGAGCAAGAATTTTATGTGAATGAATGAAAGAAATTAAGAAAAAGAACATATGTGAATGAATGAAAGAATAAATGATACACCACGGCCATCCCTCCCCAAACATGTTAAAGAACGCAAAACTATCGGTAGAACACATGTTAACATCAGCTGTCCTTTTTATAAAAAATCTACTTTGAGACATTTTTTTACATTAGTAACTAATTCAGATATCTTATTGCATGTGTGGAATGACATGGGCATTGACAGAATGTCAACTGACACTGTCACAGACCCCTCAAGAACAGAAAGTTTAGAACTATCACAAAGCCTTGCAAACACCTTTCCAGTTTTGTCAAATACTAAGATCAACAAGAAAGAAAGAAGTTTTAGAACTATAACACTCAAGCATCACAAGCACCAATGGCGTATCAGAACAGATCGGCGATATGTCATATTTTTCACACACCTCAAATACACACTAACAAAAAAATAAAAATAAAACTATCACTATTACTTGCAAAAAACTTTCACCTGATGGTATATTCCCCTCATAAAAATTAAAGGTGTATGTGAAAGATGTTTTAGAACAATAACTAGAAACACTCAAACAACGCCCTGTAGTATTTCAATGGCAGATTGGCGATATGTCATATTTTTTACACACTAACAATTTTTTTTAAATTATAAAACTATCACTATTACTTGCAAACACCTTTCACCTGATGGTATATTCCCCTCATAAAAATTGAAGGTGTATGTGAAAGATGTTTTTGAACACTAACTAGAAACACTCAAACAACGCCCTGTAGTATTTCAATGGCAAATCGGCGATATGTCATATTTTTCACACACCTCAAATACACCCTAACAAATTTTTTTTAGTTATAAAAATATCACTATTACTTGCAAACACCTTTTAACAAAAGGTATATTTCCCTTCTAAAAATTAAACGAATATGTGAAAGAAGTTTTTAGCGATATAAGTTAGTCTTTCTTCGCTGTGTACTGAGAATTGAAGCCAGTGAGCTACAACATGCCCACTTGAAACTTTACTACAAAGCTACTGTACTTATACTGACACTAATAACAAGTATTTGACTTAAAATGAAGGGACAGAATAGGTAACTTATCTTCTACATGTAGGTTTTCAGTTGTCACAACACTCAGCGTATGTAATCAGCTGTTGAAAATAAACCGGGCTCAATCTTAAAAACTACGCTGCCGCCATATTGGCTGCACTGGTCACGTGACGAGCCGAGGCATAGCTTAGGAGCTTTCCGAGGAGTGACCACTCCCCCTTATAGAGTCTCCCTGCTACTGCCAAGCCCTCTTTTCAGTGCTAAAGCCCTAAATAAAGCAAGTCTAGATTTCCTCAGGTTCTGAATCTCTGGTCTCCCTAGGGCTCCTTTTCAATATAAATGGGCTTGTTTGTTACTATCAAAATTATATATATTCAGAGACTAAGCCTTAGTCTAGGTCATGTCTTGACTGTATAGGACCGCATCGCGGCTCGGCTATGCGATCCTTAGTGTTAATTATTTTTTAGGATTAGGGTCAGGTACCATTTCCGATCCTTAATTAATTGCAATTATTGCCAATACATCAGTATCACTCGTCCGCAGTTAAGGTCAATTACAATTCCAGTATTTTTTCACACTGTATTTGACAGCAATCAAGAACGGCAAAAGAAAATTCATCACAGTAAGTAACATAAGAGAAAAATAAAAGATAAAGTTATGAACCCTATAATTTCTTTTTTAACTTAGTCAGGGTAATGTCACACGATCTATATAATAGCATATTCAAGTTCACAAAACTCGTTAATTGTTTCATTCCCCATCAAACTACTCTAAAAAACTCTCAACTGGTCACTCAATCAATTACAGTACAACCAGAAATTATTGAGATTTAAAGATTGTAATTTCTTTAATTTGTTCACTCATTACTCACGTATTAAATGTGAATATTAGCAGAACATAACTCCAGATTCAAAGACAGGTGAACAGTTAGTATTTTGTCAAGTCACCATGGGCAGCAATGCAGGCTTCAATGTGGCGGGGCATACTACTGATCAAAGAAGTTAGAAAGTCGTGGTCCATGCTGTTCCAATATCGGACCATCTCTTCTTTCATTTCAGCAATATTTGTCAGATTTTTCTTATTGACACGTTCCTTCATAAGTCCCCAAACATTTTCTATTGGATTTACGTCAGGGTTATAGCTTGGCCAATCTAATAATGTCATATTTTGGGTCCGAAACCAGGCCTGTGAATGCTTTGAATGATGTTTTGGGTCGTTGTCCTGCTGGAAAATCCAAAAATATCCATAGAACACGTGAGCAGATGGAAGTAAATGTCCCTCGAGAATATCTGTGTACCGCTCACTGTTCATATTCCCTTCAAATACACAGAGGGAAGTAAATGTCCCTCGAGAATATCTGTGTACCGCTCACTGTTCATATTCCCTTCAAATACACAGAGGGGCGTTGCCCCTAACACAGATATGCCACCCCACACGTTAAATTTCGGACTGTACTTTGGGTGCTGATACAAATGTTTTTCAGTTTGTTTGGTCCAGAATTTCAGTGTATTAGGAAACAGCCACACACAACTTTCATCTGAGAAAATCACATTGTCCCAGTTAAAATTTCTATGCTGTAAGCACCAGTTCAACCTTCGCTCCTTTTGTTCAGGTTTCATGATCGGTGATGGAATTCCTCGACTATTCTGCCAACCCATTGTAGCAGCTCAGTTCTAATTGTCTCCTTACAGACAGCCACAGTCCCTCTATTAATCATATCCAGCCTTAAGCTTTCTAAACTCCTTCGTTTGTTTTTAGAAACAAGAATACCAAGCCGTCTCCTGTCACCGACAGTCAATTTTCTGGGCCTACCTGCGCCTCCCTGGTGCTCAATGCCATATCCATTTGCAATATTTTACAAAACACGATAAACAGTGGACAAAGGGATGCCTGTTCTACTTGAAATCACCTTAGCTGATCTGATGTCCTTGTTATAATACTCTAAAATCAACTTCCTCTTCTCTAAATCATCCATACTGAAGATCACTGAAAATGTTATCTGCTAGCAAGTAAACAAAGGGGGATAACTCTTCACAAACTAATGAAAAGGGATAAACAGAGTTGTCTCTCTTGAATGAAACCAAGCACTTGATAGCTGGTCAAGGTTGTTTATACTAGAAATCCAATTAAAAATTTTCCTAAAATTCTCAATAATTTCTGGTCATACTATATTCGAGGTTACTTTATGATATAAATATATAATATTTCATGACATATTCAATTCAATTCAATGCTTTATTGTACGAAAGGCCATAGGCTCCATATTCAGTTGAGTTACATATATTTCTGAAGCAGAACAAAAATACAATGTGGTTAACAATAGGAGGTTTAGGGTAATGTTAAAGCGTGGTGTATAAACAGAGCAATTTGAAATTGGTTTGTATGGTTATTGCAGTATAACAACTTCTTAAAATTATATATAGACATGAAGTTATATGGAGGTAAATACTCCATACATAAGAAATTCTGAAATGGCGATATCTGTTAAGTTAGCTGTGAGAAAACACCTGTTTGTACTACAATGATTTCCATCCGCCAGGTTATACAAAAGCACGATCGGAGACAGTGATGGGCAGGACACACCGGTGAATAGCTAATTATGTATCATAATTACTTCTGTTTCATTAATTTAAAGAATGGCAGAGTAAGTTTGTAAATACCGTTCAAATACAGTGATAACTGTTTGGCAGCCAGTAGGAAGCTGTCACATCTTTAGAGTTTAGGGATGAGGGCTAGACCTGACCTTGAGGCAGTGTAATCTATAGATATCCAACTCAAAACACATTTCGTCCTACCAGGTCTTGTCAGCGTAGTCCCAAAAACAATGGTGCGAAAAAAATCAATGGGAAGAACATGACACAGTGAGACACATGCAGTGTGTGATATAGCCACTGGCCTGCTAGTCTATGGCTAGTAAAAATCCAGTCGGGCCAGTAAATCTCCACAGTCACTGGCCCAACTGGCTGGTGAATTTTCATGGGGTCATTTTGTAAATATGTCACTCTCTCCGACTTGTTAAGTTACAATACACTTTTAAATCATACAATATAATGGCCTGATAAAAAAAGTTCATCATATTAGCAGCCTAATGAAGAAACTCATGTCATGCCGACAATATCTTATTCTCATCTATTTTTATAATCTTTTGCTATAGTTTCTACATACAAATTTTGGGCTAGTGGATTATTTTGTGGGCTTGTAACTTTTAGGCATAGCTAGCCCGACTGGCTAGCAAAATTTGGAAACTATTTTGCACACTGGGCACATGCACGGGGAAATGAAAACATAACATTCACTGTGGTGTTATTGCAACTTTTAACGAGCACTCATTAACTATGATGGTGCTTGTGGCTATTTATGTCACTGATTAACTGAGTCGGTAATTCGGTGATGCGCATTCGAACCCCCGCAGCACGAATTAATCTGAAAAAGTGCGCCTGATAAAGTTCATAACTATCCATTTGTGCATTGTATCCATGTAACAGAGGTATTCGTATATGGTAGTTCAATGAAGATGAACACTTGTGTAGGTTTTCAGGGATTTATTCCAGCGCGCTGGTAACGTGGGATATGGAGATCCCCAGTTGGCTGTCAGTCCATGTAACTGAACTAATAACAAAATGCCCTGAATGACAAAATATGCATCAATTAATACATGTCTTTTGTAATGAAATACATATCATGTTATACATTCAATATGGTTACCACTATACTATTAATACATCTGATAACTGTCAATCATCCAGATTTAAACGAAGACATGTACTCTGATTATCACTCACATATATAACAATTATAATTACAATATATATATATATATTTACAATCACATTCTGAAAACAATACCTCACCTCGTCTCGGGCATGCAGGCAGAATAGTCCAACAGCTAATTAAACATCTGATTCTCAGTGAACCTAAATAAACAAAGTATTGCCTAAGTATACTGCTAGAATATACAGATATACATCATAAATGGCATTAGCGTACACATAAGTAGTTATTTACCCTAATACATACATAAATATGCATATAGAAACTAAACCTAATAATAAACATGCATGATACACATTACTGTATCATGCCAGTCATGAAATAGCTAATACATATACATACTACATATGCATGATACAAATTACAGCATCATGGTGGTATAAAATACCCTACTGTTCAACTAAACTCACGCCAGTATACTAGTGTACTGGTACACAATACATCATATATTTGTCTAAAATACTAAGCTTGCATATATTTATAGACAAACAGTAGTATACAGAATGGGGGCTCTGTTACAGGCCTGCCAAGAGCGTCATTATATGCCAATTCCGCTCCCAGCCCTAAGTAAAAATTAACGATTTTGAGCAGAGGCATCATTTGATGCACAGCCCTAGACCCCCCCACGTAAGTGGGGGGTTCTACCAAGAGCGTCATTATATGTTAATTCCGCTCCCAGGCCCAAGTAAAAATGAAGAGACATCACTCAATGTGGACCTTAGAAACTCCCCACGTCAGTGTGCCCGTACGCATAAGTCGTGACGCCGTCGGCGGCAATCCAGGGTTTGGTATCCATGGGCGACAGCAACGTCTTGTTGAGGGTGATGCTATCGAGCGACGACAGGAGGAACTGAGCGCTGTTGATGAATCTTAGACCGTTGAGCGAGAAGGAGATGTATTTTTCCATGTTGTTGGGGATGCACTTGATATCGCCACTGACCTTCGAGATGGCCTGCATGATCAGGTGGGCATCGTACCCTCTCAGATTGTGGAAGACCACGGGGGATGTTGATTGTTTTAGGGTTGATTCTAAGCTGGAGGTTGCACGCATTATGAGCAGCGGTGTACAGCCTTTTCCTGATCATTTTCTCCTCGTGTTGCAAACACATGAGGAATCGTTCGGCTGCGCTAGGACCTCGGTAGATGACTGGAGCGTTCGTTTGTCCATCGCATCGGACGACCACGTACCCGAACCCGCAGGCTCGGTGTTCTTGGGTGTTGCACATAAAACTTTGCTCAGTCGTGTTGGGCACGTCGTGGTCGACCCGTTTGATGAGGGCTTCGAAGTCCGCATAGATCATGTAAGGCACAGGCATCTGGTGTTTTTGGTTGGTAAATTTCAGGATGTTGTCGTTTTCTCTCCCACGCGTAGGCAATCCTCCCGGTGCGCTTGCAGCAGGTCGGCTCGCGTGAAGCCGTGCAGACATCGTTCACAGAAGTGTTTCTTTTCTCTGTGCGCCGATTGATTGTGCAACAGCCGGCTCAGATTTTTGATCGCCGTGTAGTGGTACTGGCCGTCTTTTTTCGATGAGGAATATATTGATTCTACGCACGGTTTTATCACCCACAGGGCTTATCCTATACACGATGGTTTTGTCGCCTTCGTGGCCGAACATGTTGACAGCCACCTTGTTTTGCTTTTCGAATCGCGCCCAGTAGGAGTGGGGTTTTAAGCGTTCTACACCCATGAAGTCGAACCCGGATTCTTTGATCGATGGATAGCTGGAACGCCTGCACGGATTACCCGTTGGTTCGTGCGTAGCAGCTATGACCGACACCACCGCGCAGTAATCATTAACATCGCCGCCTTTGGTTTTTGGGTTAACAAGGGCCTGTTTGGCTCTGAAATGCTTGGGCATTGGTATGTGCAACCCACCTCTGAGCTGCATGTAGTTCGCTATGTCGAGATAAACGGTGTTGATTTGGTCTACCACCCATCCAGAGCCCATGTGGGTATATTTCTCTCCAACGACTCTTGTATTTTCTGCAACGACGCGTAGATGGAGGATTCAACCGATTCTGGTTGGGTTAGGACTTCCCATTTGCCTCTGAAATAAGGTACGATGAACTCGGTACTGCCGTCCGTCTGCTGTTTTTGGAGCGCCATTTTCATCGTCAGTTGGTACTTGATGCTTTTCAGGTCGTCCAGTTCTTCGCGGAGTTTACTGGCGATGGGGTGTTTGACTGTATCGGTATCGATATTGGAATCGACCGCCATTTTCCAGCCCCGGAGATACTTTCCCACGGCATGCTCCGTTGCCACGAATCGCAGTTTGACCGGCTTGGTGTCTTCCAGTAAGGTGATCGGCTTTTCTCATGCGGGAATAACCCCTCAATCCCCGTTCTTTGGCTCGGAGTTTGAGGTCTCGCACAGTAGGGGGTTTGGCATATTTTATACTGAGAAAGTTGAGCAGTTGGGGTTTCCTCATGCGGGAATAACCCCTCAGTCCATGACTTTTGGCGAGAGCTTTGAGTTCGCTGACGGTAGTCATGGTGTATACCTTATGCGGAGTCAAATGTTCAATAAGGTGTTCTCAATATGCGGATAACACCATCAACCCTTAAACTCTCATCCTGAGCAGCCGGTGACGTTCGTTGAGGTAGTCTTTCTTCTTGTCGTAAATAAGTTGGTTTTGAACTACGTCCCTTCCGTGGGCCTTACACAACCCATAATGTCCTTTGACCCCTATACCGCATACTTTGCATACGTAATTTACATGACCCATTCTCACACTGTTGGCATGCAAGTGGCAATATTCAGCCATAGAGCGTTTACCGCAGATTGTGGGCTTGCCGAGCAATACCCACTTGCAATAATGAGTTCCCACAGGCCACATGATGTATACCTCATGCGAAGTCAAAATACCAAATGAATGTTACTCCATGTGGAAGGGGTCCCGGGGTTTGGTCTTGGGTGTTTCTGCCTTCTTGTCGGCTGGTGTGTGGAGGGGGTGCACGAATGGGGAAACTGGTCTGCTGTGCTTCCAGGTCTTGTGGGCGACCTTCCAGAGAAACAAGACAGCTATCGAAAGGTAGGTCCACCTTTGGGTTCATTTTACCATCTGCAGCCCCTTCTGGATATCCAGAAGGGTATCTTCTTGTTCCTCTTATATTTCCTCCAGGAGTTCTTCATCGTCATTGTCGTCGTCGTCCTTGTCTAGCCTTGACAGGATGTCGACCAATAAAATTGTGGTAACCGATGATGTATTCACGGTTTGCTGCACACGAGCCTCGAGCCTCCCCAAGCGGACGTAAAAGTCCTGAGACGGTTCTGCAGCAGGCAATATGCTGCTGGTAGACAGGCAATACGCTGCTGGTAGACAGGCAATACAGTCGTGCTGGACGTCGTAGGTTCTACAGCAGGCTCTCGCCATAGCTCGTACAGCCTTGTGGACCCAATACCAAAGCTCTTTTTGACCTCGCTTGCTGGGAGCACCCCACGAAGGGAGCGTATTTCTTGGATCTTGTCTGAAGACAAATCTCTTCTTGGTGGCATGGTTCTTCTTTCCTGGGCATATATATGCCCATACTTCCTATATGCCTATATGGGAATCCCAATCCTCTCCCAGGAATCCCAATCCTCTCCCAGGAAACCCAAATGCGTTGAGAAGCGACAAACACAACATCTATGGCATCACCCTCAACAAGACGTTGCTGTCGCCCATGGATACCAAACCCTGGATCGCCGCCGCCGGCGTCACGACTTATGCGTACGGGCACACTGACGTTGGGGGAGTTTCTAAGGTCCACATTGAGTGATGTCTCTTAATTTTTACTTGGGCCTGGGAGCGGAATTAACATATAATGACGCTCTTGGTAGAACCCCCCACTTACATGGAGGGGTCTTAGGGCTGTGCATCGAATGATGCCTCTGCTCGAAATCGTTAATTTTTACTTAGGGCTGGGAGCGGAATTGGTATATCATGACGCTCTTGGCAGGCCTGTAACGGAACCCCCATTCTGTATACTACTCAAACGCCTAACATACACTAAATATGATAAAACACTATTCCTTAAAACATATACTGTAAACGTACTTATTTTCGCGTGGTGCAATTTTCGCGGAATTGACAGTTTAGACTACATCACGCGGTCAATTATTCGCGCAATCAGTAATTGCCGAAACTGCCAGCTTTCTCTTTGGCCGCCACTAATAGCAGTGAAAACAAACAGAGTTGCTTAACCTGTCTGGCGGCGTTTATTGCATACTCACAGGAAATCCCTATCTGTGCGATATACTAGTACACAGTAATCCGTTTACTCACGGAAGAGATGAAAAACACATCAGTCTTATGTTCCGAATTCTGACGATCTGACTAATTAACTTCTACTGTATATGAAGCTCTTTGTGATTTCAAACAAACCGGGTTGTTGTGAATGAGATGACTGAGTGTTAAGTGACTATTAAGCTTCATGATGTACTGGTAAATAAAATCTTAATGAATAAATAAAATACTGCTGTATTATTTCTTTCGAGTCGTTTCATGGTAATCTGTTTTGTATCAAACCATCTGGCATGTGACCAATTTCCATGGCGGCCACAACAACACACATTGCTGTTTTAAGCTAATTCGTGATGGGATTTGGCTCATTATTTAATTATGTTTTGGGAAATACATTGCGACAGTTAAGTATGATTCTTTATGCTACTATCAGTCGTCATTTTAAGATTCCCGTAGATTTCTGTCTTCAAACTTGATGTGTTATGGTAACAACTCAGGGGCGAGCGTGGCTAGACTGAATGAATGACAGGTTTATTCGCGGTGTATAAATTTTCGCGCTAAAATGTTTTGCGCGAAAAGCGCGAAAATAAAACCTGCGCGAAATATAATACGTTTACAGTAATCTAACACACTAAGTCCTAATAGCCCTAGAAAGCTTTAAATATGATGAGAAGGTGAAATCTATGAAACAATAGGAACCTTGACAACAGGCCAATGCAGAGATTGAACCTGACACAGATCACTTACCCTTAAGTAAGCTAGCTTACC